TTGGCCGCACCGCCCGGGGGGCCGTCGCCCGCACCATGTCCGCGGCCGCCTACATGGACTTCGTGGCTGCCCAGTGTCTGGTTTCCATCTCCAACCGCACCGCGGTGCCGGAGCATGGGGGCGCTCCGGACGCCGAGCGGCTGCGACTACCTGAGCGCGAGGTGACCAAGGAGCACGGTGACCCGGGGGACACCTGGAAGGATTATTGCACGCTGGTCACCATCGCCAAGAGCTTGTTGGACCTGAACAAGTACCGACCCATCCAGACCCCCTCGGTGTGCAGCGACAGTCTGGAGAGTCCCGATGAGGATATAGGATCCGACAGCGACGTGACCACCGAATCTGGGTCGAGTCCTTCCCACAGCCCGGAGGAGAGACAGGATTCTGGCAACACGCCCAGCCCGCTCTCCCTCCTCCACTCTGGAGTGGCTGCGAAGGGGAAACACGCCTCCGAAAAGAGGCACAAGTGCCCCTACAGTGGCTGTGGGAAAGTCTATGGAAAATCCTCCCATCTTAAAGCCCATTACAGAGTGCATACAGGTTAGCGGCGTCGCCTCTCCCCCCTCTCCGGGCTTAGCTAACCTTTGGCCGGCCAGCATTCCTGGGTGCCCAGGACTCCGCACTCGGCCTAGAGGCTGCAAATATTTCGGAGACGATGCTGTTTAACTCTTGCACTCTCTCCTTACTTGGCCCCAACCTTTAGGAGCCACCCGGAGCCCCAAACTACCGGGTTGAAAGAGTGGTTTGCGTGGCTTGGTGGGGAACGGGCCCGCCCCTCCCTTCCCCGCCCCGCCCCCGGGACTCCGCACCCGGCTGCTGCGGGGCCGCCCCACCTGGGGAGACGCTGGCGGCGGGCAGTCAGATGGCGCAGCTTTTATTCAATTTCCCTGGTGGGGTTGCAGCGGAGGGGTCGCGGCATGGGGGAAAGCCACATGCGTGAATCCTTTTAGGGATGACTAAGGACTCATTTAGCTGGATGGCGGCTACTTTTCAGGGCTTGCCAAGGTGGTTTTAAATTTGGCCAAGAGTCCCCTGAGAGGTTTAAAATAAAACTGCTTCAGGCTGCAGGGGAGACTGATGAAGGGAGGAGTGGTTGGTGGATTAACTTCTTGACTAAGTTAGCCTTCCTAAGGGACGTGATTTAGTGCTGATCTGTTCCCGTGTAACTTATTAGGTAGCACGCCTGAACCCTAAGTAGAGAGGTGTGGTCCTTGCTGGAATTCAAGGCCTTGGGGGATGAATGTGAGGCGCTTCTGCTAGCTGTAGGCCAAGCAGCACACACCAACGTGGCTGTAAAGACATCTGCTGTGTGGAATGGGCTTTAGGGACTAAGGACCTTGGTCAACTGGCTCTGGTTGTTCTAATTAAACATGTACGGGAAACGTTGGAAAGCGTTCACATATGGGCTTGCTGTCTGATCGGCTTGGGAAGGGTCGCTTGTGACTGCTGCTATGATCAGGCAGCAGGCCTGTCCCTTCTGCCCTGAGACAGCATGTTTTCGAAATTGTTGGCATTTGTATGGAAAGGCGTAGAGGCGTTTTGGTGTGGGAACTTTGTAGAAGAAATCCTGAACCTTTGGTTTCAAAATGGTACTCTCGCTGGGGTTTTTCGGCTTTGTTTGCCTTTTAAAAGAAGGAGTATGTAACCACCTCCCTTTTTATTTCCTTTGGAAAGTGAAGTCTCTTGGAGGTGGCTTCCAGCACCCATATAAATCTAAATTTCCTAGTGCTAATGAAAAAACAGGTGCTTTTGGGGATCCACATCCAGGTTGCCATATGAAGCAGCACCTTTGAAAGTTTGAATCTGTAAGGCAGTTAGGCCTGTACCCTCAGTGAGGGGTGTGACCTTTAGTAGGGCTCTGGGAGGCGAAGAGTGGTATATTAACTCAGCGTGTTACTCACCACAGCTGTTGGGCGGGCCTGGCCATGTCAGCCATGTTCCCAGGGTTCAGTGGCTCACATGGACACCCACTGCCACCTTGAGCAAAGGCATTTTCTCCTTCAGGAAGGCTGCCCAGTGGTGTAAGTGGGGAGGCCGGCAGTGCCTCCCAGCTCAGCAGTAGATACCCAGCATTCTGGGCCATTTCGGCTGAGTGCTTTTCTCGGGCATTTATAGAAATGGCTGCTCATGTGTGCGGGCATGCATGCTGCTCCTTAATTCTCCATAAGGCACGTCAGCTCAGCTGTTTCAGGAGAAGCTTTTACACAGATCACAGTGGAAAAGGAAGTGAAGCAAATACTCTTTCCGTTTTAAATGCTACAGTGTTCTTTTGGTTCTAGTGGTGTGGTGATTGCAGGGGTCTTATTTATGTTTTGGGGGGTTGGGGGTGTGGGGTAGAGGTGAAGGACTCCCTGTCCTGCTAGTGTGGATGAAAACTCTAGCCTCCACAGATCCTGCCTAGAGTGTACTGACGAGGGCACACATGCCAAGTTGAGTTTCAGGCGCTTGGATTCTCAGGCAGCTTCAGGTTAGATCACGGTTGGGTGGGGCAAGGAGCTTCCTGGTTTTCTTTCTGCTGGTTCTTAAATCCTGAAGGTGCATGGAGAGACAGCCTTGGGCCGTCAGTGTTCTGTGAAAATCTTAAGAGCTGAAGTCCCTGCCACACCCCCGTGTTCAGTACGGCTCCCTCCACTCATTCCCCGGAGAATCCCCCCTGCTTGCTCACTTCCTTATAGAGCCCTGGAACAGCTCTGCTGCCATACGCCAACATCTTTGGAAGATGAATCATTTCAAAAATTTAATTCAGCGGGGCTCCTTCCATGGTGTCCCGAGGAAGGACACAGTTGAGGTGGCTGAACTAGGCTCGGATATTCCGAGACCCTAGGCAGATCTTCGTAATTTAAGGTTTGAAAACCGGAGTAGGCTGCTGCAGAATTTGCTTTGCAGATTTGTTTGCTGTGGACGGCACAGAGTTTATAAAAATTTCATTACTTATCAGCATCTAAAAATCAAGATTCTGGCATAAGGCCAGATTTCTAGTTCTCTGGAAAAATCAGAAGATCTGGCAAATAGTGAGTGGGCCCGGATCCTTGCCTAGCAACAGTTGGTTGGAACTGCTTTATATCGGGTGGACCTCGTTTATTTTTATTTTGGGTTTTTGGAGATAAGGTCTTGCTGAAATAGCTAAGCTGGATTTGAATTTGATATGTTCCTGACCACCTCCGCCCTTCACCTCCCACATGTTGAGGTTACAGGCATGTACACCACCAGACTTACACTTTTTCCTTGGATGCTCGGTGTCTGGCAGAAGGAACTGGCATGGCATCCATAACAGAAGCCTACCTCCAATTTTGGAATAGAATGTTTGGTCTCCTTAGGAATGCCTTTTCTGGCCAGTTCTAACTCAGGTGGAAAAGTTTGTACTCAGTGGCTCTTTCACTCTTCTGCAGCTTTGGAGTTACCTGTTTGAGTCTAGTGTTGTTCTAAGTGTGATATGGCTGGGTGTGGTAGCACACGCCTTTAATTCTAGCTCTTAGGAGACAGAGGCAGATAAGTTCGAGGCCAGCCTGGTCGGCATAGAAGTTCCAGGCCAGCCAGGGCTACATAGTGTCACCCTGTCTCAAACAAACAAATGTGAAGTCATTTACAGGGGCTGGAGGTGCTCACTGGCAGAGTGCAGGCTTAGCATGTTCAAGGCCACGGGTTCAGTTCTTAGCACCCAAAGAAAAGCCCGGGGAGTCTGGATTTCAGGGCCGGAGTCAGCTCTGGCTGTGGCACCACACCCTAGACTGTGAGGCCTTAGTGGCTGAAGTGTTGTCACCTGGTCCTTATCACTTTCTCCTCTTTTTTGGCTTTTTGAGACAGGGTTTCTCTGTATAGCTTTGGAGTCTATCCTGGAACTTGCTCTGTCCATGGCTGGCCTTAAACTAACAGAGATCCACCTGCCTCTGCCTCCCCGAGTGCTGGGATTAAAAGCCACCAACGCCCGGCTCCACTTTCTCCTCTTTGTATGAGGACAAGGAAACCCTGTGCTTTGGTCCTTAAGGAGGTGTGCTCTCTGTCCCTGTTCTTTCTAGGCATCTACTCACAGTGATACGGATAGTATTTCATAAACTTCATCCTTCCTGGATGTATTTAAAACTAACCCCTACTGAGTGGTGAGGAGGTGACTTGCCTATGAGAATATTTCTCTACTGTTTTCCCATTGTATATCCCCTAAGAAGACTCCAGACGATATTATTCTGCAAATGCCCACCTGTATCCAGTGGTGTCTTAACACTGAGAGGATTAATTATAGAGCTACCTAGAGACTGTGCCCCTTTAGAAGACCACAAAACATTCGGATACCTAAGATTGTTTCCATCAAAGAGCCAATTTTTACCCACCTGAGAATGACATTCACCCACCCACCCCAGTGAGAATGTCTAGACCCAGTTTCAAGTGCCCTGTGTGGAGAAATAGCAATGAACTGTAGAGAAGCGATTGCAGGGCCACCGGTAGCTTTCCCCTGGGAAGATGGATTCCTGACTTTGTTGGGTTCTTGTAGGTTTACTAGTGAATTCCAGAAAAGGTGCTCTTCTCTTGAGTCCAGGACAGGGTGGCCTTTGGTTATGTGGCCTAGTTGAAATCTCCCCTTAAGATGGAGACCCACCATGGAGACTCTTGTTTCTAGTCTGGAAGACTTCTTCAAGGATCAGTTAAATGAAGGAATCCTCCTCCATCTCTTACTTGCCCGTCTCTTTGCCCTAGCACTGACAAAAGCAGGGTGGCCTCCCAAGCTTCTTCTGAAGCTGGCAAGGCTCGCTGCTTCACAGCATGAAATGCTAATGGGGCACAATTACAAAGCACGTGGGTGTTTCCTTGGTTTCCCTCTCAGAGGAGTGTGAGTGCCCCCAGGGTTGGAGGAGGGAGGCACCAGAGGAAACAGGGCCCTCTGGATGGTAGCACCCCATTGCCTTCAGACACAATGCTCTAACAGGAGGCAAGTGGACTCTCTAAGGACTCCATTCCTGTTACAATTGTTGATGCTTACCCCAAGAACCAGTCATTCTGCAGGTCTGTGGGAAACTCCCAAAGTGAACTTCCCAGGGAGAAACATCATAGGACATATTGGGAAAGTGGCTGGCAGCGATCTTCCCTAATAAGTTCATTGAGAGGGAAAGTGGGCAGATGAGTCCCAAGCGCTCTTTCAGCAGCCCCTAAAACCACAGGGCTGGCTCTGCTTGGAACCTGCTTTCAGCCTGGTTTCTGCATGTCTTCTGATCATTAGCATTGTTGGTATTGAAAAACAACACCCGGGCCTGTTGTGTTTCTCAGTCTGGTTTTTATTTTCTCTCTTGCCTTATCTATTCTCAGGGTTGGGGGGAAAGCTTACAGCTAGAAACCTCCCCCACATCACCCTCCCACTCTTCCCTAGTATTTCTCCAGCAAGCCCAGCGCCCACGGAGGAGCGTAAATTAATGCCTAGTAATTGGTACAAAGGCACTTTCTGTTTCTATGCAACACACACAAAAAAGGAGAGGCAAAAAGGAAGGGGGGGGGGGACTCCACTGATGTTATAAAGGGAAAGAGTGATCCTTCCAGCAGTGGTCTTGGGTAAT